CAGCATGCATCCATTCTTGTTATGAAATAAAACATTAACGTTACCAGATTTACAGACCCACACAGCAAGAGTGCCTTCCATGCTTTTGAGGTTACAAATGAAGCAAAGACAAAACCCAGGCCTGCAAGGGCACCGAGCACCTTTTTTTCTTGCTTTTGTCTCTCAAGGAGTCTGTGCAGAGCTCAGCATGTACCTTCTGTCAGTCTAATTAAACATTTACTCCCTGTTCTGCTTCCTTATTCATCCCAGTGGACTGATGAGACACCCAAGCACGTGGAAGATCAGGTGGGTGTCTCCGCAGTTTGTTACAGCTATTTAACTACCACTGATAAGCAAGTGACTTCATGGTCTGGTCGTTCTTTACAGAGGTGGACAACTCAGTGATTTGTCTGAAAGTCTAGTAAATGGTCTGGTTATCACTAACTATTAATCAGGAAAGACAACGCTGATTGCCACTGGTCTTCAAGGTGTGCGTATTGCAGTAGCAACACACCAGAGACCTGTTGTTGATCTGTTTATTCCTATCAAAAAACAACCAAGCAAACAAAACACACACACCAAGCATGGGAGAACTCAGAAATATTTCAATTTTGAACTACAAACCACATACCTTGAATAAGAAGGTAATATTGGCCCTGCTAAGAAGTGACTACTGTACAACCCCATGGATTTCTGTGTCTGACCTCTGCTTGAGTGCTCCATGCATATAGCTGGTGTGCTGAAATGAAAGAAACAATCAAAAGTAAAGGAAGTCCCTTGGTTTCATAAATTCCTGGAACCATACCTGTGAACACTGTCAAATGCAGTCTCATACATGATTAGATCTAAATTCTGCACAGCAGTTTTGTATTTTCTTCTCCGTGTGGAATACAGTTTCCTTCCTTTTCCCCATTTTCTGATCAAACCCCACACTTTCTTCAATGCCTTTTTCTCTTCAATGAAAGTATAAATAACAGCGATGATGAGGACAGTACAATGCATCCCTTGTATTTCATAGCACTGATTCTCTCCTGTAATGCAGTTAACAGTTTGTAGGAGATGCAGAACTCCTTTACTGGAAAGAACTGATGGGATTGCTGTCCTTGCTTAGGGGACATCCCAGTACAGCTCTGACATCCTGCTAAGCAGACGGTGCTTGGGTGCAGGAGGTGGTGTATGTGGTCACCCTGTGCTTGTGCGGTGGGAGCTGGGGCTTTGCGAGGGTCAGCCATGGGTGATACGGAGATTCTTGTGGTGCTGCAGATCTCCACGCTGCAGCCCATGGAGGAGCCCACATGGAGCAGGTGGATGTGGCCTGGAGGAGGCTGCGGCCCATGGAGAGCCCCCGCAGGAGCAGGCCCCGGGCCGGAGCTGCAGCCCGTGGAGAGGAGCCCACGCAGGAGCAGGGGGTCTGGGGGGAGCTGCCCCCACCCATGGGGGACCCGTGCTGGAGCAGTTTGCTCCTGGGGGATGGATGGACCTCGTGGGACAGAGCTGTGTGGGAGCAGTGCTTGAAGCGCTGCTGGCTCTGTGAAGGAGCAGCAGAGACAAAGTGTCAGGGACTGAACGCAGCCCCCAGGATTTACAGAGTCTTTGTCTGCCACCCAGGGCACTCAGAAACTTTGCAGCTCTGCAGTCCTTCTCCCTTCATTAGTTGTATCCTATCACTGACCTGTCATTAACTGCTTCTCATCGTTAGCTACATAGTAGCTAACATAAAAGGGGAAAGTTCTGACTACTCACTAATTATAAAATGAAAATACGATGATTTTCTTTATAAACTTCAAGCATACTTTCTAAACATGCCCTAATATTTCTAAGTAAAAGCACCCGAATCAGTCCCGTCTCTATACAGATAAAATCGTTTCCGCTGGCCAGCACTGACATCATACCACGTGTCTGGAGCAATGTTGTGGAGGGAAAAGGGTTATCTATAGATCCTAACAGCTCAGGAGACAGAAGGCAAGTAAAGGCAAGTTAAACCCACTCAACATTTGGTATTTTTATATCCTCTGAATCTGGAGGCCCATGTCAAATATTGTAAGGCTGGGGCTTGCACTGCTGAGATAAGGGGCCCTCTCTCCAGGTGTAGCCTGATGTTTCCTCACAGACTTCTGCTGTTGTTCTTTGTGCTTTTAACCCCATGGTGTACTCACAGAGGTTGATCCCAGCAGTCCTATACAAGCTGTACGTGCTCCTGTGCAGGCGTGATTCCTCTATGCCCAATTGGGTTGCCCTGTTTCACCCCCAGGCCCTCCTGGGCATCTTCTCCACTGTAGGATCCTTCTGGAGCAAGCCAGTTTGTTGCCCTGAAAAAAAAAAAAGGGATCTGGTTTCTCCCAGGTGCACTTGCCAGGATAGTTAACCACAGGGTGCACTCACAGATGAGGGTGTCAGCTGCACTAACTTTGTTTTAAATCCTCTCCCAGGAGACTTCACATCCTCAGCTGCCTTCATCCCACACCTGAGGGGATGCCCTTGGCTATGAAACCACTGCTCTGTCAGGCTGTGTCCTCCCAGTACTGCAGGTATTTTGGACTCCAGGATCACAAAAGCTGTGTCTCAGTATTACGCAGCATTTAAGTGCACAAGGGAATGGGCCCCAGAGCAGCTTGCAATGGACAAACCCCATCTATCTCTGCTTCCCGGAGAGAAAGGACCCGGAGAGATTAAATCTCCTAGGGTGAAGCTGGCTTTGTGGTGCAGAGCCCTTTCTGTGCAGCGTGGTATGTGTCAGCTAAAACAATAGTCTAATGGGAATAAACCTACGTGAGGATTACTGCATCTAAGCATAGTATTCAGCAAAAGCACTTCCCAGCTGTGATGCCTTTTTTTTTTTTTTTCCCCCTCTAATCTAACTAAGCCCTGATGACATAAAGCATTAAACAAACCCAATGCTGGAGCACAGACAGCCACATTAAGGCAGGTGTAGCTCATACAATCTCAGTTTGATTCTTCTTCTATTTACATGCAGTTAAATACGGGGTGATGTGACTGGCTCATGCCGACACACGGAACGAGCTCTGGCCCTCCACATCCGTCATCAAAGACGGCAGCAGCACTTGACTGGGCTCATATTTTTTAATGGAGCCAGCAGATGGCATTCGTACACTGCAGGCTTCCCTGCTCCACACCTTCCTTTGCAGCAACACAGTCCCTTCTCCTTTTCTGAGGGCAGACTGAGTGTCTCACAAGAACGTCTTCCAAATCGGTGAAGAACTTTGTTTTCATAAGGGTAGGAGCATTTCCTGTAGGCTGTACAATCTGATAAACTCCTGGGCTGTGAGGATTAGATATGTTATCCCAGAGATTAAATTTTAAATTAGATCTCACAGGAATAAACTGCTACATACAGCCTGTCATTTCCACAACACTTTGATGAAAGTTGGGTGGTTTCCAAGCAGCTGCTGTCTCTTACTCTTTCATTTGACCTGTTCAAAGCCATTTCATATTCCAGTCTGTTCAGCCTGAGCAAGGCACATTCATTATCCAGGAACCACAAGATTTTACAAGCTAAATGAGAATTGCTTCATTTATTGAGTTGCTACGACCAGATTGCTCAGAGGAAAACAGCGTGAAGGTCCATTAGAAATAATTTTTCAGGTGTGAATGTGAGACCAGAAAAGACAATTGTTGTGTTCCCAGTTCTTCAAGATTGACAGGTCACAGTAGGTTTGAGTGTCCAGCTGAGTTCAGCTTGCATTGCAATGAATCCTATCAGTGGGAATTAAGTTTAAAAACTTTTCTGATACGACAAAGAATGGTGGTGCATACTTGGAGGCAAAATGGTGCATGAGCTTCACAGGTATCTAGAGATACCAAAAGCCAAGCTGAGGATTTGAAATACTCTCAAATGAAATATGAATATAAACATATTTGCCTTATGTACATCTTCTGAAAGACACAGTAATGGGGGAGACCCAAGTTTTAAAGTGATGTTGGGCCTAAATTATTTTTGAAGTCTTTCTTTGAGAGTAAAGATTTTACTAACTTGAAGATTCAACTTTACATGAGAACAGCTCAGAGATTCAAATGATGGACTGGAGGAAGACAAAAGCTCCCTCAAACTTCCAGAAGATGTGTATTGGCAAACCCAATATTATTTTAAAAGCTTTACGTGGAAAACCTGTGACAGAAATGAAGCTGAAGAGTGCAATACTTCTCCGTATAGCTAGATGGCTGTAATGACACACAAAGAGTGCCTGGATTTGGTAATTCATCGCAGATTCTGCTTTGTTTTGTATTTTCCTTCATATAAAACAATCTTTTCTGTATTCATTTTCTTGACATTTTTATTATGTATTAGCTCCATCTAGATTTGTCATACAAATCTTCTAAATAAAGTTAATCAGCTTTAAGGCTTGTATCAAATGATTTGGGGCAATGATGATTTTAAGATGGAAATGTATTTCACTTTTAAGGAAAATGTTGTCCTTATTTCCTCTACTTAGCTGCTGCTTCTACTACAGAAATAAAAACAGGCATTTACAAATTTTTAAGGGAATTACACACATTTAGACAGACATCTTTTATAAAAAAGAAATGTTCTGGCAGGCAACCTGTTTTGATCACCATTTGATAAGCTTACAGAATATTATCTCTTAGGAGCTCTAGCATTACTTTTAGGCAGTAAATTGGCACAAAAGAAAACCTAACACAAAGACGAGACAAGTATTGGAGGGATCTGGGGGGTTGGACACATCTTAGCTTGTGCAGGCATCTCAGAACTTTTTTTGGGGGGGTTCCTGTGAGTGTGTTAGTTTAAAAGATTAAGGTTTGCAATCTGCACCGAGAGGAGAGTCCTTGCTAAAGTCTGTATACCAAAGCTGGCTGTGAATTGAAGAACTGTTGTAATTAGATTACTGTAAATACAATAAGAAACTCACTCCTGGTGGTCTGGGGAGGGGTGTCATAGGGCACTGGAGAATTGTGTTGGCAGGATTTGGGACAGTTTGACTGAAAGCAGAGAACACAATCTCAAAATCCTTTTAATCTTTTTTTTTTTTTTTTTTTTTTTCCTCCCCTCAGTTCTTTGGGGATTTGTTTGTCATTAAGTAACAGTCAAAAGATTAAGGAAGTATAAAATGACATTAAAGCTCACAAGTACTTCTATAAAATTATCAGTGCCAGTGTAGTCTTCAGCAGGGACCGCTTCTGCCAAGACTTTCTAGAGCTGGGCGGAATGAAAAGAAAAGGAGCAAGCAGGCACAAAAGCAAAGCCCGTGAACGTGGGCTGGCGTCGTGCTTCTCTGCGAGCGCTTCTATCGCACGGTCGCCCCAAGTGCGGTGGCTGTTGCTATGTGTCTGGGCTCAACAAGCTTAAACTTTGCATGGCCCATGCTAAACTAATTTGAGTCAATTTGTCTACATCATTTCAACAATCGTCCTGTGCATTTTGAATCGTACATACAACACTGCATGATAAAGGCCCACCGAGCAGATGCCGACTGCTCATTCTGCCGTGGTCTAGCTGTTGCTAGTTCTTCACCATGGTTTCTCCATATCCTAGTGACAATGTTAGTTTTTCGATGGGGAGGTTAAGTCTGTGCCTGGCTAGTTAAGACTTTTCTTTACAGAGGACAGCTCCTATAACAACTGCCAGCTCTGAGCATGACCTTTAAAAATGAAATGAGGGAGTGTTAACTGGAGTGTTTTTTTTTTTTTTTTTCTCTTTTTAAATCTCCCAAGGGAGTTCAAAGGAATACAAGGAGATTTTGCAAGCAAAGTTTTAAGCCTGCACAAGAAAGACACCAATATCAGGAGCTGTTATCACAGGAAAGCTGATCTAACCTGCTTATAATCAAACAGTTTCAGTGTAATAGGTTTGGACTCAATTGTAAACATTCACTTTGTAAGACAGTTTAATTTTTGAGACTGAAATCAAACGAGAATAAAGAATTAGAGCAGCTCCAACAACTCCATGCCTAGGTAATGTAATGGAGCTGATCCTCAGCTGGTGTAAATCGGTATAGCTGCAGAGGGAATCAGCTGTGCTGTCCTGTTTTCTACCAGCTCAGGACTTAGTCTTTCAGAGTGGAGCATCATATTTGGGAAACTCCAGGATTTCATGAGTAAAAGAGGAAGAGTGGTAAAAAATAAACCTTATTCTCATGTATGATAAATCCCCTGAAGAGGCATTAAAATGCATGTTTTCTGTAGTGAGAGAAAGCCTGTAATTAATGTTTTTATTATTCCTGGATTGGCTTGATAGTTTGCCTGCAAGCCTCTGCTGAAAAAGGATTACCTGGTGAGTCTTGCCAAATTGGAGCCCTGTACATCTCCAGGGACTGGCTGTCTGTTCCTCTCTCTATAAACTATTGAGGATTTTTTGCTAGACCCACTAAAATGGCAGCCATTTTTCTATAGCAAACTTTGAGACCACTTTCATTTTGACAGTGTTTCCAAAACAACATAACTCTGCTAGAATTGCCAAAAGGTGAGTTGGGTTTGAACCTTAGTGTTTTAGATATTCCTCCCCTATTTTATTTTATTTTTTAACCCAAGACTGTTAGTTTAGCCCCTTTGTATCAACCAAAACTTTATCTTGATGAAAAACAAACAAGGGTGTATTGCCTAAAGAGTCACTTTTCCCCTCCCCCAGAAAAATGTAATTGAAAATCTTTCAGGGATGTCAAGTTTTGGGGAGATGTTTCAATGCAGACAGCATTTTATTTTATTTTATTTTATTTTATTTTATTTTATTTTATTTTATTTTTACTGTTTGCTCTCCAGATGATAAAACCAGAGAGATGGGTAACATGGGCAGATCTGTTTACTATTGCTCAGTGGCTTCTTTTTCAATTGATATCCTCTGTGTGTGTGCTCATCATGCTCTGGCTTGAATTTTAGATTCAAAACAAATTTCAGTACTGAAAATAAAAGATTACCATTGCAGTGAGGTCAGAAAACTGCCTCATAAAATCAGTTGGGTTCCCCTCCATGGGGGGAGCCAAATTCCTGGTGCAGACCCCACCAAGCTCTGCTGCATCCTGGGTCGTAAGGACATTTGAGAGATGGGGTGGTGAAAGAAGTGAGCTATGGAGACACTGGCAGCTTCTAAGGATGGGGCAGGCTTGAGACCCCTCAAACTGATGGAGGATGCAGTGAGAGCTTGCAGACTAAATCCTGGCTGTCCTAGTGCAAAGATACTCTCAAATCTGCCTTTTGGGGCAAGTTGAGCTGAGTAGAGGCGTACCTGATTACCTGGGCCCATTCTTCGTGCAGTGCTACAGCTAATAGCCACTGACAGTATAATTGGTCACTCAAATAAAAGCAGGCTGATGGCAGCAAGGTGTTAAAAGCAGTGCTAAATGCTACCTTAGCCTGGCCATAGGTGCCATGGCAAGCACAACTGGTAGGACAACATTATAGGTCCTGAGAAGGCTTTTGGCCCCATGCCTATGACAGAGCTCAGAACTACCAGAACAAGTCTCCATCCAGCCTAAGTATTCTCCTAAAATAGGTGCTTGTCTTTCTAAGTATTACTTAACAGACAAAGTCCTTCTCAGTGAGCATTCCCTTTCAGGCAACTAAGTAGCACTGGAGTTGGTAAAGATGTCCACACCAATGATTGTAGAAGTCATCTGAGCAACCTTCCCCTTCAAGAACTACCTGTGCACCAATTTTACCTGATGAAGGCACTTCTTTCCAACGCTTTTTTCCCTAGCGTAGTTTCTCAGACAGTAGACACATGGGGAGGGGAGCAAAAGTAGAGATGAACATAGCAGGAGTTAGCCATGAATTATCAACTAACGAATTTTGAAACATCTGTAAAACTTCCCCACAGAAAGGTGTCTGGTAGAGGCCCGCAGGACCCAACTCATTCAGTCCCTGACTTTTCCTTTCTCATGTGGGTTATTCACAGAGGGCTGGGCACCAAGCATCCCACCAGCACAACCCCCAGCACTGTGAATTCATCACCACCAGGGGAGTTCAATTGAAGAAGCCAACCAGTCACTAAAAAAAAAAAAAAAAAAAAAAAGGGAAAGTTTGCCAGATTTTTTCTCAGAAATGGAAGAAATCCCTGTAGGGAGCTTTGGGCCGCCAAAGCTAGTCTCAAATGAAGCTTTGTTCAAGCAGCTCTGGAGGAAGCAGCCCTGTGAGAGCACCAGAGCAGTGCTGGGAATAATAAATATGACAGGGCAAATCTGTCTGTCATAAGGGAGATAAAAATAAAAGACAGTGGCTAAGACTGGACAAGGTTAAAGGGATAGGGTTTTGGCTCTTAGTTTCCAAATGGGGGTGCAGTTGATGAAGGCACTTAAGAGACTTTTCAAGCATTTTATGTGGATGTGGTGAGGGCAGCCAGGGTTGGGTCACACATGGACAGAAGGATAATCAGCTCAGTAAGTGACCTGAGGGAAGATACAGGACCCCAGGCCAAAATGCTTAGCTTTTTGCCTTATGCAAGTTCTTGAAGTGCTTTCCTACAAGCCTGGATGGCACAGGGAGATCTGGAGCGAGGATGAGGGAGAGAGGACATCCAGTGCAAGGCTCAGGCTTAAGGGCAGCACTAAGTCTCCAAATTAAAGTCAAATTACCTCAGGGCTGATGTGTGAGCACCACAGTTGAGGTCCCCAGTGAGGAAGCTCTCCTGGCCAGGAAGAAGGTCATCCATCTCTTACATGTCTCATGTGGAGCAGGGGCAGGAACCACCCAGGAGCTCCTGTAATGGTCCTCATGGAGGGGTAGTCTGTCACAGGAGAAGGTGAGACATCAGCCCTCAGCCCACAGTTCTTTGGAGGCATCGTGGCCAAATAGACAAGTGGAAATGGTTCCCCATCTGCCAAAAATGAAAATGTGATGGACACCTCTGAAAAGTGAACTTATTTATCTTCATGGAATATTGCTCTTCTAAATCAAAATGTTCCCTCCAAAATTCTCACAGAAAACTGGGTTTTCACTGAAAAAAATTCACCTTACCTTGTCCCATTTCTTCACTGTGATGCCCACAATGAGTAGCAACTTGCTATGTGGGCAATACCGCTGTCTCCACAGACAAAACCATGAAGAACATAGATGGTGCCATTTTCTGGTAAATCAAGTGACCAGAACCTGGATTTACAAACCTTTGCACCAACAATTTAACTAGTTTGTGCAGCTGCCTTTTTGATCATAAAATGAGCATAAAGCTCTGAAGTTCTCGCATAATAAGGCTAGAGTGCTAAAATCAAAAATATTTTTTAAGATACTTGGGCCTGGTCTGCATCTAAAACCATACCTGATCTGGGGAGCAAAGCAGCCCTACCTCTTCCCAGGATGTGCAGAGCAAACCTCTTGCATCCCACAGTAACCGAAGAGTTGCTGCTGCCCATTTAGTGATGAACAAAGCCAAGAAAACAAACAAGGTGGGAGGCTCCAGTAAGCGCCCTGTGATTACTGCTGAGGGGATGAGGGAAGATGCAGGAAGGACAATGGTGCCTTGAGGCTGCTGGAAAGGAAAGGAACATTATTTTGCCCCCAAATGGTCAAAGCCTGGGACTTGTACTGGTTACTGCTGCTGCCTTGTTCTGCTCCAATGATCTAAGTCAGTTTTCAGAAAAAAACATACATGGGGAATTTGAAATTCCCCTTGGCATGCCTCGCTCTCGATGCTAAGCCTTGGCAAGGTGTGATGCTGCGTTCCCAAGTGCTGGCCAGAGCGTGTCCAGCTCGCTACAGCAAATGTGCTTTCTGTGCTACATGCTGAGCACCAGCGCTGGTCTTATTAACGCACACAGCCCCTCATATTTGAGCTGTGTAAACTGCTCCTAACAGCTCCTTTCCCCTCTTTGTTCAAACAAACAATGGCCTTTGGAAATTTATTTTAATGCTGCCGAGACCAAATTGTTATTTAATTTAACAAATGAATAATTCTCCCTTCCAAATCCCCTTTAGCTCTGCATGTATATTACTTAATAGCTTATCTATACGCCTATCAAATTCTTACTCCTCTGAAAGAATACAACGCGCCCCCCTCTCCTTGTACAGCAAATTAGTGGAGGGAAAGGGGGGATATGGCTCCTCTCTTCGTTCCCATCTTGCAATAAACAGAGAGAATGTACTTTGGTTTTCTATAGACACACTTGCCAGCTTTATTTGGCCATGAGATACCAAATTTAGAGCTGCCTCTGGGAAGAAATTAGTGATAGGGAATGCAACGCAGGGAACATACTTGCATCAATAACCCCTGCTGATGGAATAAATTACAAAGGTTTTTTTGTTTTGTTTTTTTTTTTTTTTTTGGTAGCATTTTAATTACAAGTTACCCCATTCCCTTTTTTTGCTCATTTGTTTTATGCATTTGTGACTGGCTTGATGAGGACCAGTTAGTTCTCCAATGGCCAGGTGCTAGTAGTGCCCCCGCCTTGGGAACCCACCGTGAAGAGCTTGTGTAGGCAGACACTGGAGGAGCAGAGAAGTGCAGGGCACTGAGCACCCCCACAGGTCTTAGCCCCTGTCAGCACGGATGGGAACACATCATTTCAGCCTCTCTGCAAACTTGGGCATCACAGCATGCCCTGCTGACTGTCACATTGCCAGGGCTTTTTCAAAGCTAGTGATGGCACCTTCTCCTCAGATCACTACCCTTTCTGATGGCCCACTGTTCTCATGCTTTCCTGATGGCGTTCTTCAGGAGCAAGCAGGGATAGTCTGTGTGTATCTATAACTATATATAATATATGTTATTATGGATACTAGGACTATTTAAAACATCGTGACTACCAAAAACGTCACGATTATCAATAACATTTTCATTGCAAGGCAGGAAGGTACGGGCTCTTCACATCAAGGAGCACTGTGAGATGTCACTCTGAGGTGTCCACAAATCTTCAGATCTACAGGAGGTATTTTCAGAGGTTTACACACTTTTACTTTGTCAATTTATAAAGTGACTTTCAAATAAATGAAACTATGAAATAGCACCAGGGGCTAGACAGTAGGACCTACCATGCCAAACTGTAACTAAACTGAAAATATTTAACTTCGAGAACAGAGCCCCCCAACCCTCCCTGCAAAAGGCAGCATCAGAAACATTCTTGTATTTAGGTAAAAAAAAAAAAAAAAAAAAAAAAGTGAGGCCTAAGCAGTTAAAAGGCAATGTGCTCTAAAGCCTCCCTAATCTATTTTCCTCCAATTCTTTCCACCTCTAAGAAGCTTGTGGAGTTAGTTGCCGATTAACATTCAGGAAGATTGTACTCTGTCTCCAGTTCATTGCTCTCTTGTTGGCTTATTGTTATTCAGAGCCCATTTATTGTAGATGAGCCATTCATTTTCCTCTAATTGGATGGGATTGGATTTCACTTTCATTGTTGGATGCATTGAAAACCCGGGAGGGGCTGCAGGGATCAGCCCAGGGCTGGGGAGATTTAACTGAGCACAAAGTTTAGGTTGCAGCTGAGAAGCTGCTTTTTTTTTTTTTTTTTTTTTTTTTTTCCTCCTCTTTTACATGCAAATGACTCTTGGCTAGGTTTGCAAAGTTTCTGTTGTGATCCTGAACACCTTGTGCATAACTTATAATTTTTGATTTTGGGAACTTTTATACAGTTCCTCACCAGAGCACTCATCACAAGGAAGATTTCAGAGTGTCAGAAACCAGCAAGGGCTTTGCACAACCATCCCTCCTGTCAGTACCCAGCCAGCTTTCTGACAGTCTCCAATGTTTGGATATAATCCTTTCACAGCGTTCGGTTCAAGCACTGTAACATCCTCCCCTGCAGAACGGCTTCAATTCACTCGGGGCAATACGAGGCTCTGCAAGCAGAAGGCATTTTGGAGCCTGCTCTCTACAGCTATTTGCAGGGCAAATTGTCCCCACCTGAGGGCAAGCTGGAGGCTGAGGAGCCTGCCTCCTGAGCCACAGCTTGGTTTTGTGGCAGGAAAACAAGTCTGAACCAAGCCCACTGCTCCCAGCTGCCTGAAAACTCACCTCGAAGTGCTGGCAGCAGAGCTGGAAATACTCCTTGTCTACCCACATGGGTGTGCGTGTCGCTGTGCCATGAGGGAGCCCCCTTGCCACTCACAAACACCACGGCTGCTCCAGGGCTCCTTGGCCACAGCACCTCACCAGGCCAGCTCAGGAGTGATGGGGACAGATTACATCCACCTCAGAAATACCATGTCTGTAGAGAGCGGGTTTCAGGGTTTAACTGTCTGAATTAAAGGCAGTAGTAAAATTCATTTCAAGGATTTAACTATCTGAAAAATAAGTGTGTAACCAGCGGAGAGATGGGCACTTCTGGAGAGCAAGTGATGCTCCCTGAGATGTATCTCACAGGTGGGACGTGCTGCTCTCTGGAGCAGAGAAGCAAGCAGACTTAGCAGACACCTTCGGTGCGGCCTTAGACTCTAGCATGTCCCCCAAATGTTCTCTAAGCAGCCCTAAACATTACACATCTAGGAACACCCTATCTCCAACACCTTCACTGGACGGCCAAATATGACTGAACATGGCCGGCAGGTTTGGAGTGGCCACAGGGAAAGCAAGGAGACGTGTCTACCTGCACAGAGCAGCAGTGTGACTTGAAAGCATATTTTTAGAGGGACAACTATCAAAGAAATTCAGCCGTAAGATACATTATTGCCCAGGGAGCATTGTGGATGGTCTATGTGTTCACAAGAAAAGAGGCCTAAACCCAGCCTCCATTAGGCTGTGACACATGCTGAGGAAGACCCTTTGTTCACACATAGGCACCTAAGAAGGTGCCAGCTTGGCCCCAAACCCAACCTGCACGGAGGTATTTATTAGTTTCTTTACCACATGGATCCTCTGGTGTTTCATGAAGGCTAAGCTCACGCTTGAACCCTTCCCTTCCCTCTCCCTGCCTCCATTAGTTAAACCTGAGGTGAAATCCACTCATCGTCCACACCTGGTGGAAGGAGGCCAGCAGAGACCGCAAGGGCCTGGGAGGGAAGCAGAGGCACCTGTGTACTGGGCTCGTTGAATATAAAATAATTAACATGGCCCCAAAGACCAGGCTCTGATGAGAAACAAGATATTAAGACACTAACCATTAAAATTGATAGGCCAAGAGATGAAGACAATGTGAAAAGCTGCACAAAATGAAAATAAAGAAATAAATAAAAGAGGTAAAATTTGACCTGTTGTTTTCTGGGAATTTTCAGTGTAAAAGGACTAGGGGAGACACTCTACCCAAAAGGCTTTAACCTGAAGACCTGCAGGCAACTGGTACAAAGCACAGATGTTTTGGGATCCCACAGGATCCCCTACAGCATACATAACACCAGCGGTGGCAGCAGCCTGGCTGTCCAGATTCAAAGGCAAGGCTGAAGAGCTCCATGTGACAGCAAGCCCACCAGACCTCACAGTCTCTCTCTTCAGTGTCCAATGACACACAAAAAATACTCTTCTTTTTCTTTAGCTATGCTAAAGAAAGGATTTACATACCTCCTTCCTGCAGAGGTATTCGGTGGTAGCCAACCTCTGGCTCTTGGTGGTTCCTGGCGTCTCTAGGCCCCCGTTAAACAGTCTGTGAATGGTAATTAAACAAAGCAAGCCTATGAGCTCAACAGCCGCTGTCCTGGGTTTGCACCTCCCCTGGAAAATTGCGGTGGTCTGCAAATCAGGAATTACAGAAAACATCTGCTCTGGCTCCGGCACAAGCCTCCCCTCAGGCCTCCCCTGGGTGTGCTAGGCAGTGCGACCGTAAATCATCTCGCTGGACTCATCAGGCCTCGGCAGCTACCTAAGTTATGAGCGCTGAAGACGGCCGTGGTCGTGGTCTTGCCAGCACTGTATGGAGGGGATCACCTCGTGGCTGGCTGTGCTTTCCTGCATTCCCCGGGCAGGGATTAGGGAGCTGCTGCGTAACATATTGGCCTTGACCAGCTACGCACCATCTGGGCTATCTCCAGCACTTCAAGGTTGTTTCCAAATCAGGCTTATAGACAGGCCATGGGTCTTCCAGAAACCTGTTGGACACTGTCCTTTGGATAACATTCTCCAACAGCAGTTACTATTCAGATACTATCAAGCTATCTACAGCCAAGCTATATGCACTGCACCAATTACTACCATTACTTTTTCCTCATAACACTAAACTTTACTTATGCAGGGGCCATACAGAAACCTAGAAACTACTTAGCTTTACCACTTCAGTTGTGCTTCAGGAGAACCTTTCTCTGTAAAATTAACCCACTTTGGTTATGTCACATAGTCAGATTTCCATTTTTTTCTCCTGTTTTTCTGCATTTCTCCATTATTTTTTTTCCCAACTAAAGAAGCAGTGGGCTCTCACAGGCAGACACACAATCACAAGCAAAGAAGTTTGCATCCCAAAGTCAAAACAGGGCATCATCAGAGAAGTCAATGCACAGGCAGGTAATCTTTTCTGTCCTTGGCATCAGCTACACTTTTTTACTCTTGCACATTGGCCACACCAAACCCACTCTTCTGCAAAGAAAAACGAATGCAAACGGCTCATCCCACAGACACACACCCTCTGGGAAGTATTGACGTCTACTGGTGCAAGGGCTTTACCAAGGGAAATCTAGCAGGAATAGTAAAAATTACAGCCTTTTAAAACTCTCCCAAACAATTACAGAAGGAAATGAGAACGTTCTGTGCCATTTTAATGTTCTGTTGTTCTAGTAAAAATTTGACATGACTGCTTTATTTAATTTCAGGATTTTTTTTTTCCTGTTTTCCTGATTTCATCTGGTTTTTTTTTTTTTTTTTGTTTTTTGTTTGTTTTTTTTTCTTATTTTCCTTCCTTCCATTCTTAGAGAATTTGCAAAGGTTAAAAAGAACACACACATAAAAACAAAACAAAACAAAACAAACAAATAAAACCCACTTGGAAACAGAGAAAATTAATAACCCTGTTTCTCATTTGACTACCTTTTCAAGATTTTATTTTATTTTGTTTTTAATTATTATTATTATTGTTTTGAATGGGAACTACCAACAAGGCAAGAAAGGCACTGAATGATAGAAAGAAAAAAGGATGGTCTCTTCCAACCTAGAAATTCTGTGATTCTGTGAGGTGCGAGGGCAGGAGAAATGGCAGAAGTAGGAATGTAAAGAAGAGAAGAAGGTTTCAAAAAGCAGAAAATCCAGGAATGTCTGGGCCTTGGATCTCACCAGGCAGCTGCAGGAGTTGCAGCAGCACTAATGCAGCAATACCCGTTCCCTTGGTGTGCATCTGGGAAATACAAGACATACCCACCGAGAAACCACCCCCAGGTGGGTTTCTGCATCCCACTCATCCATAGGTAGAAATTCTTCACTGCAGTTAACCACAGGAGGCCTGGCATGATTGCTAGGCCGAGGAACAACATTTTCTCCTGTGACTGCTGTCCCTGGGGAAGCAGGAAAGGGAAAAGCACCATGAGCCAGCAACACGTCCTTGTGAAATATTAAACAAAGCGCAGCCAGAGGAGGAGGGAGGCGCTTGTCCCTCGGCTCAGTACTGGTGAGGCCGCACTGGGCCCAGCTCTGGGCTCCCAGGGATCTCCAAAAGCTGCCTGGACGTGGTCCTGGGCAGCCTGCTCTGGGTGGCCCTGCTGGAGCAGGGGTTGGACCAGGTGGCCTCCAGAGGTCCCTTCCAACGTGTGGTTCTGAGATCATTTTTCCCTGGTGCCAAATGCCTGTACCTGAGAGGCACCTACCTTGGGTCCATTACCAGAGCCCCACGGGCCCTGCATACCCCAAACTTCACCACCCTGCAGAAAGACCACTACAAGTGGGGCATATGGGGCACAGGGCCCAGCCCCCAAAGGAGTGACCATCACCAGCACCCTGTGGGCCACTGCATCCCAGCCTTATTTATTTGTTATGAATAATTACAGCTCTCCTTTCCCCTCCCCTCTGGCCTAGGCACAAAGCAGCCCGCTCCCCCGAAGGCCGCGGCATGTAAAAGTTTGTTGTTGCATCTCCATTAAACTGTATGCTCTCCGCCCGCCGGCGATAATGCACTTCAGATAATTCGTTGACGCAATATATTTTCCAGGATAGGCTTTTGTTTTCTTTCTTGGCCGCTCACCCTCTTTCTGTGGTCAGTTTTGCTCATTTCTCTTGTAAGCTGTCTAGAGGCAGAGAAAAGGCTTTCAGTTTTAAGCAGTTTCCTTTTCAGTCTCCCTTTATTGAATTCCAACCTCCATTTTTTTTTTTTTTTTTTTTTTTTTAAGCATAGGGACATCATTTATCTTGGACTTTAAGTTGCAGGGGCCTTCAAGGGGCTTCTTTTTTTCTTTCCCAGCTGCATTTGTTGACACACAGTCAATCTGTTTTTTGCCTTCGTTCCCCCTCTTCCCCCCAGCAGGCCATAAAGTATCGACAGCTGTGCCCTTTATTAGCATAGCCATTTTAAACACAACAAGGGGGAAGAGACTAAATATATTACAGCCATTACCTCTGTCAAAAAGTGACAATTTTAAAACATTTTAGCTTTTCACTGGGAAAGCCGGCAGCACAAAAGAAAGTGCTATAATTTTATTGTAAATGCTTTTTAAATATGGGTCACTTGGCCATAATCAATGGAAAGGATGGAAAAGTTCAAAGCTTCAGAACAGTTCAGGCAGATAGCAGAATTTTTTTTTTTAAAGGCTTGTCTTTAAAATATGCTAATTGGGGCAAAAATACAACAGTGAGAAGCATGCAAAATAAGATCTCGTTCCTGGCGGTTTTGTTTTCCGCCCAGCTCTGTTCATGCTTTTCCCATCTACTTATAAGTGTGTTTTACAACTTGGATGGGAATTATTCCTCCCCAACAGGGTGTTATGAACATTTGGGGACTGAGAAAACAGGAGGGAATCCTGGGCACTTGCTGCTCTCTTCTGAAAAAGAAAAAAAATAAACAAACTACAGTTTTTCCAAATGCCCATGGAAGTGTGACGTGCCACAGCACTGTGAGTTACCGGGCAAGAGAATTTCTTGAGTATTAAATAATCCCGAAGCCTTAAAATGTCATAGTTTACGTTCAGGTTTGGATTCTGAAACACACTCATAGGTTTATTCATTCTTTATATGGCAGAAACTTGTATTTTTAAGCCTCCAGAATTAGGAATTGGCCTTTTTGGTTAGACCAGGACTAATGCCCACGGTCAGCATCTATTACGAGCTCTGAAAGGTAAAAGAGGGCTTACGGATGCCCTGAAGCACGTGGATCCTGGCTGCTTTTGTTTGAATTTGTAATGGCTTTAGTCAGGCAAAGAGGAAGGGGCAATCCCAGCGGGGTTTATTTTAAATGGCATCACCTTCACCTCCATTTCAGACATCTGGAGAGAACTTACGGGTCTTTTCTCTCTCTTATCTGTTCCTCCCCAGTTACAGGTTTTGCGTGAGGTTCCTCTTTGCTTTTGACATTTCAGAACACATCTAAAACTTGGCTTATGGCAAGGCAAGTTGTTAAACAGACTTCCAGAAGCAAAGCTTCTCTAAGGGAGCTATTTAAGCAGAAGTCCATGAAATCCCACACACAATGTACTCACGGAGGCTCCTGGAGGGCCAGCTCTCACCACGGGAGCACTCTCCAAATTCACCAGAGAGAGGGAGCGAGCATCCTGCTCAGGGAAGAGTGCAGTCCATGGCAAAGGGGAAACGGGAAGGAATTTTCACCACCCATCTTTTGGCAACCAATTTAGCAGCTAAATGTAACCAGCTGGTCTCCCCAGGCTCCCTCTGTAGTCAAGGGAGGGAAAGCAAAGCTCCTGCAGAGGGTCATTCAGTGCACCCAAATTAGCCTAACTCTGAATTGTCCTCCCTCTCATCCGTGACTGGAGCAGGAGTTTGAAGAGACTGCCCGGGTAATTTAGCCAGCTAAGTTGGGTGGTCTGAATAATTCCTTCCCCACCAACCTCTAAAAGCCTGCCTAGGTACCCCACAGAGATTGGCATGCTGTCGGAGGGACCGATTCCCAAGCACGGCAGCAGTTCAGTAATCTGCGCTCGTGCCCGCTCCAGAGAAAGCCGGGATGCCCCAGCACCAGCAGCAGCATCCCGCTGGATGTTGTAGCTCCCGGCCAGGACAGGAGCTGACCTGAGCCACGCGCTGGCAGCTGCTGCTGGGCCAGTTGTGACTGACTGGTCTGGTTTGGGGGATTTTTCCCTTGCCAGCCTGGCCACACAGCACTAAGGTGGGAATAGCTGCGGGGCAGCCCAGCCCTTAGAGGTGTCCCACTAGGGGAATCAAAAGCAGCTCCTGTGCCACAGAGACCTCTCTGCTTGCACTCCCTTCCTGGTGAAACAGTTTTGTGCCCCCTCCTCACTTCTCCTGTCCATGTTCCTACCCACCCCCAGCTGCAGGATACGTTGCGATGCTAAAAGGACATCACTTCCCCCAAAACTCCTGGCCCGAATATTGCACAACCAGCGTGGGAGCATGGCGTGTGAACTGACTTCAGGAAGAGCAAAGGCTTGTGCATAGGGAAAACGGGAAATAAACGTTCCTTTTCACTTTTCATGCGAGCCAGAGCCATCCAGCTGATCGAGATGTTAACATTACAGGATTTCCATTTGTCAGATTAAATTGCTTTTTTTTTTTTTTTGGTCTTTGAAAGTGAGCTGCATCTTTGTACCACCCCTCACTCACCATTTTTGCATGCTTGTCCAGCAAAGACTCTGACCTGGGCAGCTAGCTGTTTAACTTGCTGCTCATCAAAGACCTGTAAAGTCTGGCTTTCAGCTGTTTGAACAGCAGAACGGTCCTTTTACAGGCAGCCTTATTAAGGAGCAGGATTTTATTAGCTGTTCTGTGGCAATAAGGTGAAGGACAATGTTGTGGAATGCTCCTCCAGGAGATTTGGGTTCTCGTATACTGCGGGGTTTACTTTCCTCTTTTGGACTAGGATGCTTGGCAACCTCCTCATATGACAGCATGCTTCGTGGCGATATTCTCTTCCTTAAAGCCACTTTTGACAACAGGTATTTCACCCAGTTAGAGGAAAATTGGTGCTTGAAGAACTGTAAGAGAACCATACCACTGCCCAATTTTCTCCCCTCTCCCCCCCCCTTTTTTTTTTTCCTCTTCCCCCTTTTTTTAACCCATTGCAAACTTTCAGATACTTGTAGAAAGCCCACATATTATAGGGTGAAAAATCTCTTTCGGACACACACACACATATATATATAGAAACGTATACTCAAAACATTTTATGGTTTTCCCGTTTTGCAAATTTCTTTAAAGCTCTGGTAATTTTCTTAAAACATTTTTAACAGATTGTAAACGTCCCCCTTTTTCCTGAAAACCACTTTCGGGACACACAAAGTTTCAATTAGCATTTGCGAATACCTGCCAGGAAGTTTTCATTAACATTTAGACAAATAAGCCTGGGTGATTTTGCAAAAGAACAAAGTACCCTGACAAATTTCAGCAATTTCCCATCATCTTTTGTTTCATAACTCTATTTAAGCGGAAACAAAGAAACGCAAAACTTCCAGATCATTGATGAGCTTTGATGGGAACTGCATTACTTCTGGCCGCCGCTGCCAAGACAAAGATTGAAACACAAGATTTTGTATTTGGGACTGCCTGCGAGAGGCTTTTGGAAAATGAAAGGTACCTGTCTCTGAAATCCACTGGCTAAACCCTGTAAAATAAGCTACGTTGCAATTACTACGCAGTCAAAACCTGTAGCAGCAGTGTTACCACCCACTGTAACCCCAGCCAGCAGCAAGGCCTAGAAGAAAGCTTTTACAGTGTTGGGGTTTTTCAGGCCTTCTGCAAGCACTGCCTGGGGATGGGAATGTGCCAGGACAAAGCAATTCCCATCTGCTGAGGGGGTGACTGCACCCATTGCATTCCCCAAACTGGTTGAGCTCTCCTTGCTCCTGAACAGCTGGTTGGTTTAAATAAGGCTCAGATGCCCAAGCATCCAGATTTTGGAGGTTCACCTTAGCAAATAAATAAAGTAAATCCTAATTTCACAGTAAGCACACCTTTCCAGAGAGCTTTTTTAATTTTTCTTTCCTCTCTCTTCACTACAGGCAACCCAAACCGCGCTCCTCAGCGGCAGCGTGCAGGCAGAACCTTCTGCTCTTGGTCCTCACATCCTCAACTGAAGCATCTCACGTCTGTAAAAGCCAATACAAGCGTGTATTTTCCCAAGAGAAACTAAACAGCAGTAGTTACTGCATTGCACTGGTGCACTGAGCAGGAGCCAGGTCACAAACCCCTCATGTTATAGCGCTTGTAACAAGGTCCCTGGAGCCCATCCTATTAACCTCTTCAGCCAGCTGATGGTAGGAACCTACTCTACAACCTATAAAGCAAAAAACTGAGTCTTCACTCATTTCCTTGCTCTGTACTTACTGCTCTGTGGCAACCTATACCCAAGCTTAGTACTGCAATTACTACTCCAGCCCCATGATCCAACAGCTGATACCAAGACAGACTCAAAGCCTCATTAACAGACCCAGGGAAGATTTGCTCCTCAGCAAGTTTGTAAATGCCTTGCCCCTCAACTCATATAGTTACTAAATATTGCACCTGCAATATATAGTATCGTGTAGTTGCACCTGCAACTCAATAGTTACCTGTGCTGAACTGAAAGGAGGCATGGGTGATGCAAAACCCAGAATTTAATTTTTTGAGACTGAGTTTAGATGCAGCCAAGCACGTTTCCTGCTCCTGCACAACTCCCTCTGATATAGTATTATACATGCAGGTACATGGCTTTGCTCCAGCTGTTGCTTCCTCCTTAAAATCAGTGTGGGAACAGCAGCTGGCTTCCTTTTTGCCTATGCAAAATGTGATGCTCCACGTGGATACAGCAGACGATATAGGCCCAAGTCAAATCATACCATCATCATCATCACCAAGCCATAAAACATCAGTTATTAAAACATTCAGAAGAGTGCCAGCATACACCAATGTAGAGAATTAATGACCCTAGATCCCTTTAATAAAAGAAAAGAATGGGGCATAGCTACAGCTGGACAGTGTCCCATGAGAAAACAGCTGCTGAGATGAGGGCAGGGCGTTATTTCTTCATCCTTTTGGAAGGATGAGATCTATGGAAGCTCCTCACACAGGAAAACACAGCCTGATTTCACACCAAGTCCTCCCTTCATGAAGCCTTTGAACACAACTGCCTTACTACAGGGAACCAGCATCAACTTGAAGGGAACAAGTAACAAATTGGAAAACCTTCACCACCTTTGTGAGGTTCACAAGAACGGAATGTGTACGGTTCTGAGCTAAAAAAAGGAATTACGATCTAGGATATGGATTATTCATCATGTAAACTGCATCACGAGAAACACACAGGGAGAGTAACCAAGCAGGCAAAGAGGCAACAACAGCAGTGCAGCACGCCTAGAACTTTAATCTTTGTTTTTAAGAGTACACAGTTGAAAATTACACTTTCTTCTGCTTCCTACCTTCCCATCCTTCCTAAGTCCTCCCTGAAAAGGAAACTATTTCTTTGTTATTAGTTTGACTTCCCTTCAAGAGTGGCACACCCGTTAGGCCCCAATTCAGTAAAACACTTCTACTTGCACTTCTCTTCAGCTATTCATGGCCACGTTTAAGTGTACATACTTGAAGGCTGTTTTGAATAGGGATGTTTTTACTTAACCAAAGTGGGGGGTGATGGTGGTAATACTTGTGTGGTCTTAACGTGTGTGTGGGGGAGAGGACATACAACATACATTATCTTGTTCCCAATTTAAAGGTAGCTTTAGTGGCAGTCGGTGACGCACTGGATTTCTTACCACTATGCACGTCTGTGGTTAAGCTACGGCCTAAGATTTTACCAATGACATTTAAAAAGGGTAGCTCTGAAATCACCGCTGAATGCCAGTTAAAGCAGCTTTACAAGGTCAGTCAGACTAAGTTTAAACACCCTCCGCTCCTAAATGCCATTAAGCAAACTCATTTCTTTAATTAGAATCATACAAAAGGAAAGAGAGACTAGCAGGACAATACAAAAAAATATATATATAAAGAATGGGAAAACCTACAGAGTTCAGAAAACAGGATTCTGGAAAATCAAAAGGTTTATATTTTATTTTACATTGTAGGCTTTCACTTTTCATCCCTTTGAAATACATTTAGTTTTAAATTAATAAAGATCATAAACTAATAAATCGGTGTGTTCTTTGAACAGACATAATAAAAATGCAGACATTACACCACAGGATCCATCATTTAAATATCCCAATAATCGACCAGTTAAAGTGACGCTGGCTAACGCGAGGATAAAACGCCTAGATAAAAGATGTCGTGGCTCTAAGGAAAAACGTGGGTTGGAGGAGAATTGAGAGTGAAGCAGGTGATGCTTTAGTCTGAATCTGAGCTGTCTTGCTTGTTGGTGTGGTACTGGCTGACTGCTTCTTCCAAAGGAGCCATTGTACCATCCGGCCGCACTCCCATTGGTTTTATAAGTTCATCTCTGTAAGAGATCGAAAACAGAATATAGATTAGCACATGCACACATATCAATTCACATGTGTATAATACAATCACATACAGTAGAAGCTTCAGAGCATAATAAGCCTTTAAAAGGAAGTTATTCCTGCTAAAGCCCTCTGTTTTCAAGAAAGACGGACAAAAAACCTTCCAAAATAGGTGGGAGGGGAAGAGCAGGCCAGATA